AGCTGCAGAAATAAGCTAAGTAGGATTTTAAAAGATTAAGATTAATTTTTGTCATAGTGTTCACTCTATTTATTAGTTTATTTATTTTCTTAATACTGTGTTTCCCAGAAAATAAGACCGGTCTTATTTTTATTTTGTCTCCATAAGTGGCACCAGGTGTTATTTTTGTGGGGTGTCTTTTCCACTCACCTTGAGGCAGCACCGACAGCCCCACCCAGCCGGCCCACTTCTTCTGCGGCCAAAGTAGCATCTTCATTCTGCAGCTGAGAATGGAGCCCTGGCCTGCATTTCGTTGTCAGAGGCCTTCTAGAAAGGCCTCTAACTGCGAAATGCAGAGCAGGGGACACTGCAGAAGAAATGGGCCAGCAAGGAGAGGCAGGTATCAATTTATGAGAGGCGCCTGGCAAGTGGGTGCGGGGCGTGTGGGGCCGTTCCACCTCCCCACCCCCGCCCTAGCTTGATTTTTAGGCGTGCGCCTCGCCCTAAAACTAGGGCTTATTTTGGGGGTAGGGTTCATATTAGGCCACCCCAAAAAATCAAGCTAGGGCTTATTTTCGGGGTAGGTACTTTTGGGGAAACACGGTATATTAATTTAGACTGAGTTTGTAACTTGCTCATTTGGCCTTTTGGCTGTAAATAAAATTGATGATTGATTGATTTTCTTAATATATTCTTCATCACACGTTTTGTCAAAAGTTTGTTTTAAAGCTGAATTCTGAAACCACTCTAAACTTGGCTATTGGTGAACTGGATTCTGTTCCATGAACATTCATGCCATGCTGATTCACTAAAAGTTTGAAGTACCATATCATTTCCTGGCTGCTACATGGATTTGCCTCCCAATATTAGACATTTTGCAAAAGAAATTGTAGTTATTTGATTCAGGATGTATCTACATGAAACCTAAGAACCATGGAAAGAAAACCTTTAAATCATTCAAGAATTCTATTAAAAACATTTTTTAATGGCAGGTATAAACAGAATGATCCCTTTGAGGGAACGTTCAAAAACTGAAGAAGATATTCTCCGGGCAGCATTGAAATTTAATGGCAAGAAAACTGGAAGTAACCCAACTTCTACATCTGATGATTCCACTGGTTTGGAATGGGAGAATGACTTTGTTAGTGCAGAAATGGATGATAACGGTAATTCAGAATACGCTGGATTTGTAAATCCTGTTTTAGAACTTTCTGCAACAGACCAAAAAACTTCTGGTGTTGATCAACAAGTGAGATAATGAAATTGCCCATTGGGTGCCTAGCAGAATGGTTGAAGTTGGAAAACCTACAAACCTGTATTGTGCACAATATTCTAATGACTGCTGCTGCTGCTGCAAAGTCTCCTTTTACAATAAGGAAATGACACAGTGACCGGCCTTGGTGACTGAGCTCCAGATTTCTAGAAAAAAAGAGGAATCTATGCTACCTTATGTCCATTAAACAATATGGTTTGTTAACAATATGGTTTGCTCTCTGAACTGAATTGTAAGTGCAATTTTTATCATCTACCTTTTAAATGTTTATACTTGAATGATTCTGTTATGCCTATTTTTAGGTTTAAGCATACAGCAGCCTGCATTAAATATAGTGTTACAGCTTAATGTTTTAATCAATTATTCTATTTCAGTCTTTGTTTTTGTTTTTTCTTTAAATACAGTGGTACCTCGGTACTCATTGTTAATTGATTCTGGGAGGTGCGATGAGTACCAGGACAAAATTTTCACATCAAAATGCATTGAGTACCAAATTCGATAAATTTCAAAGCAGTTGAGTACCAAAGTACTGCTGTACCTACATTAGCATAATTTTAGCAGCATCTGATCAGCATCTTTGTACTTGAAGTATGAAACTAGGAATAGGAATTCTGCTATGGCTTCCCAAGAAACATAGGATGCTGCCTTACACTGAGTCAGTCTGTTGATCCATATAGCCCAATGCTCCAAGCATTCCAGTTTTCTGATGTTTCAAGTAATTCCCGGATTTATCTGGAAATGTTGAGAACTGGACATGGTGAAAGCAAACTACATGTTCTACTATTCAGCTATAGCATCCCTAACAGTTTTACATTTTTCAGTTCAATTTGTTTTGAAAATTAAATAAACTTTGGAATGTGTTTTTATTTCTCCTAGTGCTTTATTGAGATTAAATCTCAAAGCACAATATCTTACATTTAAAATGTGTGCTAAAGCATTATAAGTAAAATTAATCATGGCAGTAATGAGCCATGTAACTACAGAAATTTGGAAGTATTGAAGACATCTTTATTTCTGTAAAAACATTGGATACTAAAATATAGACTTGTGCATTTTTTTTAAAGTTCCACTGTTCTTCCAAATTAAAATTATAAATGCTTCTAATATAAAGTAGTAACTTAATTTTTAAATTGTGTATAATATTGCTTAATGGTAACGGAGTGCTCTTCTGATTTGTAAAATATGGAAAGCATGAGTACTTTCTGTGGCTGAATCGATGCAAATGCACATTCCAATCAAATTATATCTTTCTGAGGTATGTGAAACATTCCACTGTTGTAATTTAATTAAAACCAGTTTATCAGATTTAATAACTTCTGAATATGGAATAGAGTGATGACACTGTTATTCAAAAATGTTACTTTATTACCAGTATGGTTTAATCCCCCCAAAATTCCTGTACTTAATTGGTTCTAACCATTGAGATTAGAAAACTCTTCTTATGAAGCTGTTTTTCTGATGAGACAAAACCTGCTTTGGAATGATGGTTACATTTGTATGATAGAGCAGACACGTCTTCCTCACAAGTATCTGATTCATAACAATTTCCAGAGTTTAGCAATGTAGTACTGTAAATCAGGGAGCAGCAGTATTTACTTCCATACCTTGAGTTGTTGAACTTCATTTTATCCTACCAGTCATGCTCTAAGCACTTACAAACTTCTAACAAAGGTTTTCTTGCAAAGCGTTTACAATGAAATACCATAGACACATATAGACATGATGGCTTCTAGCAGCTGCTGCTACAAGTAGAAAGAAAAACCAAAGCTGCACTACTGAAAATTATTTATTTTGTTTTAAAAAGTTTGTCTCCTTCAAGTCAAGTTTGACCAAAAAAAACGTTCATGGATATGAAAAAAAACCAAGTTACTTTCTCCCAAACCCACTAATTTCTTTTTTTTCTTTTCTTTTCTTTTTTGCAACACTCTAGAAGTTGCATGACAGTATCTTTTTTCCACTTCTCAGACTATATCTATGGTACTGACTGGAATCACTGTCCCAAGTACTACTCAGATCTGACCTTAATTGGGTTCCAAGCACTGACAAAATTAACCAGAGCTGCCATCTGCTGAACAAAAGCTGAACATCTCCTGTACCTTTGCTACCAAAGGCAGTAGTGGTTTCTAAAACCACTAAAATGCACACTAATAACTACATATTTCTACTTGGTAGGCTTGTGCTTGGCATTTGTCTCTTTGCTGCTCTGTAAAAAACTATTATTGCCACATTGATTCATTAACTCTTTTATAGCTTGATTAACTTACAGATTATGATTGTTATGATTCCAGATTCAGAATATTTATTGTTTACATTATTCACATCTCCAGAGTTATGGGTTTAAAGAGGTCAGCGACAGTAAAGTTATATGTTTATATGTAAAAATTAACTAATGTATACCAAGGTCATCATTTGATTTTTTTTCCCTGTGCTTTTTAAGTTTAAATTCAAAGACAGATTTTACTATTCATAATATCTTACACAAATATTTCTTCATATATTGCATTTCTAAAGTAGAAGTTTGTTGCTGAAAGAGTTCCATATTTTCAGTTCTTGTAATATGCTTTATTATGAGATTTGTACACTGCATATATATATATATATATATATATATATATATATATATATATATATATGATTTAACATGATTTCTGTCATTTTTGTTACGCTTACCAATCTTTAAGTTTAGATTTATCAAGCTGTGAATAAATTTTTTACACACTTCATAACTAGCCTTATATTTTTTGAGTCTTATTGTTCCGTTATATAATCCTCAACTTACAAGTTTGTTGTTTGAAGTTACATCAATGAAAAAGTGATTTATGATCGTTTTTCACTTACAATCTCATGGTCATGTGATCAAAATTTGGATCCTTGGCAACAGACACGTATTTATGACAGGTCACGTGATCCCCTTTAGCAACCCTCTCACAAGCAAACTTAATGGGGAAGCCAGATTCACTTAATAACCATGTTACTAACTTAACAAGTGCAGTGATTGTTTACTAACTGTGGCAAGAAAGGTTGTAAAATGCAGCAAAATTCACTTAACAAATGTCTCACTCAGCAACAGAAATGTTGTGCTCAGTTGTGGTCGTAAGCTGAGGATTACCTGTACTTGTTTTAGGAAGAACAAGGAACTGTCTTTTTTATGATGCCTTTTACTGGTTGTTTTATATAGATGTCCAATTATCTTTTGATTTTGAGATCTAAGTCTTTAAAATTACTACACTTTTTAAGAAGTCCTCATCTACAGACTTTAATGCCCACTCAAGTCCATACTAAATAAGCAATCCCCAATTCAGGACTTTAAATATTTTTTAAAAAATTAAATTGGTTTCCAAGTGTTAACCACATCATTGGCCAAAATGTTTCTTAAAGATACTTATAAAAAGAAACATATTTCTCTTGTGTTCGTCAATTTAAAACACTGAGCTATCAAATGCTTTTATAAGTAAGAGACATAATGTAGAACAGGCATGTCAAACTCGTGACGTAGCGTGACTTTTTCCCCATTGCCGGCAATGGGGTGGGCGTGGTTTTGGTGTGACGCATCTGGCCCGTGGGCCGGCAGTTTGACATGCCTGATGTAGAAGAAAATGTTGGGAGAGAAGAAGAGAAAAATGGAAGCATTAAGTTCCTAGTACAAATATCAGTACAACTTGGATCTAAATACAGAGAAATAGCTGCTACGAGTGGTTGATGGAGGGAAGGAAGGGATTTTTTCAAAGATACCAAAAGGTAGCAATGTTGAAACAATATTTATTCAATTGTTATGACTGGCCATTCATCAAATGGCTCTGGTAGTTGCTAATCTATTGGCAGTGCAGGTGAGGATACAAATATGGATGTACAGATATCATTTCAACTACCATAGCACACCAAGGTAAAGCTGACCACTGAATACACAATTGTTTGAAATTGTTTTTCATGGAATTTTCCAATTTATTCATTCTCATCCATCTCTGTTGGAGAGCGGGAATATGAACTGCTACTTTCACATACTGGTTTTTTCAAAACTAGATTTTTTTCTTGTAACAATGACATTCTGGCCAATTCAAAGCAGATGTTAAAGTAATCTTCACACTGTCCTTCTTGTTTTTGCAATAACATCTGGTAATCTCCAAAGCAAACCATACATTTATCTGGTAGATTGACTTTATTTAGATAGGCCAGTTCAACATCGTCCACAGTTAACTTTCCCTTTTTGCTCAGATTCTTAATCTCAAAACCAAACTCTGAGCTGTTGAAGTGCCTGAAAAACTGAAGTCCAAACTGAACTCGTGAAACCCGTGTATCTAAAAAGTGAAAATGACAGATTTTCGAATCTCTTCCAAATTTCACTGTGTCATCTGCTCTCAGCTGTTGTTGGTGACAGAATCTTAAAGCACCAAAGACTGGTTTTTCTTCTTGTTTTGGATGATAAATAGTGATTTGCAGACGAGTTACAGTCTCTTCAGTATCTTCAGTTTCAAAATCAGACATGGCAGCACTAATTCAGAAAATCCTAAAAGAACAAAGTATATATTAAAATCATTTTAAAATCAAATTGCTTCACACTTACTGGATGTTCATGAAGAACAAAAAAAAAAATCTGCCACCAAAAATGGAAGCAAATATGCTGCAGCAAAGTCCATTTTGATGGGGATCATAAATATTTGACAGGGATGGAGGCTACAAGGTTTGGTCCCAGTAAACTTCAAATATGAAAAAAACCCTTCAGATTAGATTTCAATTTACTGTTTTTTTACTACATAGGAAGTATTGATTTATCTGATTGGTCCAAATACTGCCATTTATGGGGAGACCTAAAGTGATAGTTGTGGCTTTTAAGACGCCTACCCATCATCATTATCCTAAAGTCATGGCAGCACAAAAAAGTAAAACCACAAAAGGCAGCATAAAAACTATTGCAGAAGATATAACTTTAGTTCAAAAACAAAAACCGAAACTATATTTAGTTTGAGGCTTAAACCCAAGCATCCTCATCCCTTACCCGGGGATGTACAGGGGGCCCGCGGCACCTATTCGTGTTGCTTTTCCTTCCAAAGGGAAAAAGAGTTGCCGTCGAACTTCTAAGTTATTTTCAGACAGGCGTCTCGGCTCCGCGTTAGCAGATGGCGGAGTCTTCCCCGCCCGCTTGTCTTAATTCTGCTTGCGTTTGCAAACAGAATGGAGGCCCTTCCCTACGAGGGTTGCACTTTCGCTTCTATTTCCGGCGTGGTAAGTGGAAGTAAGACTCTACGGAAACACCCCACGAAAAATCAAGGCAGGCGTTCAAATCTGAAACGAAGCGGGGCTAAAGATTTCTTGGCTGACCTCCCACTCCACCCCGTTCTGATCTTGAACTTTGCCACGGGGCAAAAGCCAAGGTAAGCTGTCAGTCTTACTATAATCTATTGCTTCTTCCCGTCCTTTTCTATAGTATTGCTGGTTTTGAGTTTAGCACGAGTAAATTCGCGTCAAAAGCCATCATCTGAAAGGGAGAGGGCTCTGCCAAACTCTTAATGTATTAGAAATTTAAATGATCAAAGCCTACAGTATTAACAGATCAATCGGTAGATCGGCTTCAAAATACGGTTTGTTTTGCCTTCCTCCTGGGACTCACCTTTTCAAAGTGATCTGATAAGCAGCAGCAGCAGCACCAATGAGAGAGAGAGAGAAAGCGAGTAACTGGAAGAAACGGATCCACCAGGCTCGTGAAAGGATGCCGAGCTGCAACTGCAGAAAAACATCCCCTACTTTTCTTTTCCCGCCCAGCAAAAGGGGAGGGGGTGACGTTAGGGAAGGGGTTGAGTTTAATTTCTGGTGCATAACCAAAGTTCCTTCTTTTCTTCGACCGCGAAAATAGAAGGAGGGTGGGGTATGCGAGCTGGTAAACAAGACTGTAAAATGTCGATAAGGACTTATCTCTCCTTATCAGCGATACCGAGAAGATTGGAAGAGTGTTATTTCTTTCTCTGGAGACATCATTGTTTCACAACCAAACAATATCAAAAGATATTTCCATTTTGAAGTTCATTCCATATTTGAACATTTCTTTTGGAATTTATGGGATTTGGTAGGGTATTAGGTGTTTTCATACTGTAATCAACTTATTTCAAGTTTTAAACCAGTTTGAGATGTTGCAAGAGAAGTTTGGATTGTCTAATATTGTGGAATGGCAGTGTGTTCAGTTAAACTTTTTTTTAACTTCACCATTTTCTCCAGACACATTAGCTGCATCTAAACGAGCTTCTAAATTACTGTGAATACTAAAAAGTGCTTTGGACAATTTCAAATCTATAACTTTTAATAGGCAATTAATGGGCATTGCTAAAATAGATAGTAGCAGTTTGCAAACACTTTATGATAAGGAGCTGGAAACTCATGCTAAAAAAAATCAATAGTGAAAACTTAAAGCATATCAAGCATATTTTTTATTATCTCAAGATAAGATTAATTCAACAAAACTTCATGTGTACAGGTAATCCTTGATTTATGACCACAATGGAGCCCAAAATTTCTATTGCTAAACAAGACAGCTGTTATGTGAGTTGTGCCCTATTTTATGATGTTTCTGCCACAATTATTAAGTGAATCACTGCAGTCATTAAGCGAACCATGTAGTCATTAAGCGAATCTGGCTCTTCCCCCCCCCCCATTGACTTGGCTTGTCAGAAATCAGCTGGCATTCACATGACCCTGGGACACTGCAATTGTCATAAATACATACGGGTTGCCAAGCACCCAAAGTCTGATCACGTGACATGGGGATGCTGCAATGGTCATAAGTGTAAAAACAAAGATGGCTAAATTGACTGTTTTGATAAAAGAAAAGAATAAAGAAGAATAAAAGTTCTTTGTTTCTACTTGGAAAACAGTTCTGGACTTCGCTTGAGATGGAAAAAATAATAATAATAATAATAATAAAGTTGGAAGGGACCTTGGAGGTCATCGAGTCCAACCCCCTGCCCAGGCAGGAACCCTACACCATTTCAGACAAACGGCTGTCCAGTCTCTTCTTAAAAACTTCCATGATTTTGCATTTTATTGATTAGATCAGGGGTATCAAACTTGCAGTGTCACATGACATGTCACAACATATCGCAACTTTTTCCCCATTGCCGGCAATGGGATGGGTGCGGTTTCGGTGTGATGCATCTGGCCCACAGGCTGGCAGTTTGACACCCATGGGTTAGATTGATTTGTTCATATAGAAATGGCTAGTTCATACTATTATAGAAATGTAAAAAGTTGAGGTTCAATGTTAATCCCTTATTTTACTGCAACAGATATTGACAAGCCACAATGTTGCTTGCTTGTAGGTGGCTTAGCATGTTATATAAAATGATGATCAATTTGCAAATTTAGTTAACTGTTGCTTTTTTGACAAACAATGGCTTAATTCACTCTGAACCCAGCCTTGTCAAAGTTAAATCCACAAATGAATTACAGACATTGTTATGTTATTACTCATTACTCATAATATTTAACATATGCTGTTATATACTGTTTCTGGTTAAGCTCATTTAGAACATTTTTGAGGAAAATATTCTAAATACAGTAGCTGCAATATTGATTTTCCATTTGCAGTTTGAAAAAGTGTTTGTATAAGCCAAACAACACCTTATTAGTCTATAATACCTAACAAGTACTTGATGTCACTTGGCACTGACATCTCTGGAAATTCCCGTTTGAGCAATGTTTGAGAGCAATTTTCTTACTGTGAATTTCCTGCAAATCTCTCTACTAGCTTTCTCTTCCTCAATAAAGTCTTCAACTTACAAGAAACATAAGCTTTTCAAATTAGAATGAAACAACTTCCTTTTGAATAATATTGATGATATCTTTATTGCTACCTATAAAACAAGAAAAGGTTTCAGTGAAGTTGTGTTCTTCAAGGAATTATTGATTTATTACTTAAAGAAGGTTGATTTAGTATATTTGCTCTAATTTTTGCTCTCTCTCTCTCTGTCTCTCTCTTTCTCTGTGTGTGTTATTACTGAACTGCCAATAAATTAGATTCACATTTTTCTACTCTCTTTTAAACACACACTTGTAATTATCAGTATTCACTTCCAACTAAATCTATTTGGACTGAAAATAAGAATTTCTGCATGTTTGCTTAAATATAATTTTTATTCTCTCCCCCCTCCATCAGTTCCACTGCCATCATTAAGCATTGTTAAGCAAGCTGTCTTGTAACTTCATCTTGGGACTTCCTGCCATTCTCCCCATTGACTTTGCTTATCACAAATCGGCTCGGAAAATATCAAATGGCAATAACGTGATAGGAGAGACTTACTGGCATTACAGGTAGTCCTCTATTTATGAGCACAGTTAGAACTGGAATTGACATTGTAGGTCATGGTGGGTCTAAATCGAGTCATCACCTAACCAACTAATCATCACCTGTTCTGATTTTACAACTATTTTTATAAAGATTGTAAGTCAAATCACTGTGGTCATAAGTCGAGTCATAATTGCTACCATAATTGTGAATCCAGCTTAATTAAGGATAGACAGGGTGCTGAGATTGTAAATGTGTGATGGTTGTAAAGCATCCAAATTATGATCACAAAACCATGGAGTTATTGCAACACCGGCAAGTTCAAGGACCGGTCATAAACCTACCTTTTTCAGCATTGTTGTAACTTCAAACTGTTGGTGAAGAATGCTGTGAGTAAGTGACAATTACCTGCAATAAACCACAGGTCGTCTTTCGTAATTGAGAACGGAATTTCTGTCACTAAACAATGCAGTCATAAAATATGACATCACCTGACTGCACCATTTAGCAACAACAATCCCAGCAGTTACCATTACCATTATTAAACAAGGACCATGGGTCATTAAGCCATGAGCTCATGAGACCATGATGTGGGAAAAGGAGAGAATCCAGAAATGTTTGCTTGTGCTGCTGAAACTGTGTTCCATGCAAGCAGGCTGGTGGGCAATTGCTATGAGCAGATGACTATCACAAATGAGTATGTGGAGTATGAACAAGCAGGTAACTGTCACAGGTGGGCACTAACTAGGTAGTACAGACAGATGGGCACTAGGGAGCATGAGATCCCCATGCCTCCTGGGAGCTCCTTGGGTGAAAAAGTGGGAGAATGGGAACAAACTGCAGGAGCAGCTTGCAACCTCCTGCAGCTCCCCCATTGACATTGCTGGTGGGAAGCCAGCAGGGAAGGTTGCAAAAGGCAGTCACATAACCATCAGACACCGCAACTGTGTAATTGCAAACAGATTGCCAAGCACCCAGAGTGGTAACCACCGATCAGCACCTCAAGCACCAATCAGGTGCCATTGATTAAGCTGGGTTTGTCCTCGTGACCACATGACTCAACTTACGAACAAAGTGACTCAACTTACGACCATCATAAAAATGCTCATAGAATCGGGTCCAATCAGGTGATGATTTGACTTACAACCACAGTTGTAACTTACAGCCACAGAGACTTATGTCAGATATTCTACAATTATGGTTGTAATTCAATGGCTACCTGTAATGCCAATGAGTCTCTGTAATGCATGTTATAGAAATATTTTACAGAAAGGGCCAAAATGATAAACTTGTGAACCTGGTCTGTAAATCAAGATCAGCAAATAAAACTCTAGTGTTCTCGTTTGAATAAAAAAACAAGACATGGCTTGCTTTGAAGTAGAAAAAAGAGATTAAGCATACAGAGTTACATAGGAAAACCCCAATAGTTTCATGTAATAGATACATCTGGGGAAAATGTGGAACAAATTTTCAGTAAAGAAATATTTATTTAAAAAATGGAACAATTGAGCTGAATGGTCTGTTGATCCTTTTTACCACAAATTATTCTAAATATAAAAATTCTAAATATTCTAAATATAATTATTGAATGTGATGTAACCAAAATTCAACACTCTTACATTGCTTCAATTTCACTGGAAGATTGAAATGCGCAGTTAATCGACTCTGCTTTTATTAATAAGCTTTCAAATTTTGTAATAAGCTTTAAAATTACCTGTACAATTTCCACAGAGATGAAAAATTGTTTATGAGCTCTTGCTAATGAGCAAAGTAGTGGTCAAATAAGAAAGGAAAAAACAGAGAAGAAATTAGGAAAATAGGAATAGAGTAAATGTAAAAAATTATAGAAAAATTCACTTACATTATTTTCTCAA